AATTGTCATTTTTTCAAAAAAAAAACTGATAAATATGAAAGGCTCATTTGTGATCGAGTGAAGGGGAACAGCACACCGAAAACATTCGACAACACAAACTGGTTGAACCACCCCGGAGCTTCCTCCCCTGCAAAAGGATTGGATAACTGTTGTCAAGGCCAACTACTGCGTTGCGATATCCCCTCAATCCCCCCCCCCCTCCTTCCCCTACAGACGTACGCCGGAATGCGATATTCAAATATTCGTTTCGGTCACGGCCTACCCTTTTCTGGCTTCTTAGAAAATGAAGCGGTCATTTTTTGTACTCAATTGTCATTCCAATATGCGATTTCAAATAAAAAAAAATGAAAAAATGTGTCTATGGGAAAATCAACACGAATGTGACCGCGCATTCATGGTGGAAAATTATAAGGGATGCATCACTACGAGCTCCCCGTCAGAGTCAATCGTCCGTTGAGACAGGTCGAACGGTCGAACGAGGTTGGGGGGGGGGGTAATATTTGATTTTTAGGAGGGTGGTATTCGGGATTAATCAAGGTGGACAATCTATTTCGAACGAGCGCAGGAGGAGCTCGTACATGTGGAAGTTGAAGGGTCATGGTTGTAGGAGAAGAAATTCGTTCCTGACGTCTTTTTTTGAAAAAAAAATTGAGGAAATTGTCGCCAAATGTAGGGAAAAATGCATGAAGTAGGCGAAATTAAATCATTTGAATTTTCTTCAGACATACTGACCCCTATTTTTGGTTTCTGACTCTGTTCACTACTTAAACTTCTGCTAAAAACAGCAAATTTTCGAAATACTCCCCGCCAGGTCGCCTGAGATCCACGAAAATAGAAAAGAGCATTCTTCAAGTACTTCCATAGTGGAAGACACACTTGCACTCCGTAATATTGGTATACTCATCCATTATCCAAAAATTCGCATAAGGAACTCCACAATGTGAACATGGCTAATATTCAATCCCAGGGAAGAGTGCTCTTGTAAGGGGAATCGATTGTAGTGCTCACTCTCCAACTCTCCACTCAAACCCATAGAGAAAAGGTGATGAGCACTACTATCTAATCCCCTTACCATAGCTTCCCAGCGACAAATTTGCGCTGTGATAATCGATTATGATAATCGATAATCGATCTACTTCTCTGGTATTCTCCACATAGACCCAATTTTTCAATGCCCAAACTTCACATTCTCATAACCTAGAAAACCTCAAGCTCTTAGCCAATCGTCAAGCCAAATAGGATAAGCCACGTAGCTTGTGGAATCGGAGTGAATAGGTCCAATTTGAAAGCCTTTACACTTCCACAGATTCCAACAACTTTTTTGGCCTGAGTAATGGTTGCCCCAGTATGGCGTAGATTGTCTCCGAGGCCGATGGGAAGATTCACGTGCAACCTTTAGCATGTGGATCGGGTCACAAAAGTAATTACAGAATAGCCGATGTAACATAAATAGGAATAGATTTAGCGTTTGAGAACTTCTCCCTGCCTGGGATGATCCATGCTTTCTCACTAGCCATCCACATCGGCATTTAGGCGCTATTTGACATGCATCATACTTGCTAAGTCAGCTAATGTGCAAGCCGATTATTACGCTCACAGACAAGCCTGGCGCTACTGAAATGACCCCAGAAGAAACTCTGACGCGAACAGAGGTCGAGTTTAATTCCTGACCGACACGAGGGATTAGGGGCACTACATTACGCACTTTTCATTCACAGCATAAACGTTCATGGCACAACCCGTCGACTCGGCCGGCTATCAAAAAACTAACAAACATGATATCCTTTAAAAAAAACCATTTCCACTTCCCACGCCGTAAACGTTTCCTTTCGCCGAGAATGCTCATGCGTTTGAAAGATTATAAGTTCAGGGAAACATAGGATGGTTACAGTAATCCATCACACGGTTGTTGGGTGCACACATTGCGCCTTAGACCACGTCGAGTACTCACTCAAACGCGTTGGGGAAACCGCCACGAGCATGATTATGATGGTATTGAAGAAATTTCCGAAAAGAAGAGTGCATTGGTTTCACGAGCGTATTATGGTGCGAAACGCATCGTTTGATTTTTCATTGAATATTTAATGGTTTTTGGTTACTTAAAAAAAGCAAACTTAGCACACTGATAACACCCTGTTGTGCGTGTATATCGGCATATTTTCCCAATTCCGTCATGATTCCTTCAACGGCTCGGTTACCGTTAATTGATATACTGTTTATCGAATTCGATAATACATATGGGAAGATTTAGATCAGGAAATATGCCCAAGAAACTGAGCAGAATCCGTGTGAAGCGCATGCGTATCGTATGAATACAAATGAAAAACCTGTTAAGGATCTTGGAGCAACTCAAAAATTCTTTTCGGTCGCTTCATCGAGAGATTTCTAGTAGTGTTTTCACAGACATGACTACTAGAGGACTTACGAAGCGCGTCGTCGACGATGAGTTTCCTCTTTGAATTGTCGTCGAAAATATAACATTTTTCGAATCTCACTACATTTACCCAATTCATGAATAGAAAAGCACGGTCATGTTCCCAATTCCCTTTCTTTGTTATCAATTCTACCACTCTATTTTTTGAGATTGTGATCCAAATAGCCTTCATGAAGCTTCAGTAGCAGGGCGTAGACCTTGGAAGAAGAGGGGATTTTAGGTGGGTTCGTCACTTTCCTAGGCTTAGTCTTCGTCAGAAAACTTCTTTACTCCCTTCGTCATGCACGTGGCGTTTCCCGACGCGTTTGAGAATGAGTACTCGACGTGGTATAAGGCGCAATGTGTGCACCCAATAACAGTGTGATGGATTACTGTAACCATCCTATGTTCCTGAACTTATAATCTTTCATGGTTTGGGAGGCATTCTCTTCTACACACGTGCATGCCCACACTGTAGGTCAGATAAAACCCAACGTTAGCTTTGATTCGAGGAACCCTTCCGCCCGAAGTTCATACGTAACGATTGGTGAAAAGGCGGCTTTGGAAATCAAAGCACAGAGCGTAAGAGGTCACAATGGACGAATAAAACAATGAGAGGACTGTTTAGGAACCCGAAAAATGAGGCTCCTTGTTTGAGCCATTTTTCCGCTATTGACGTAACTCAATTCGATGGTACCCTCGTTAGCATGTTACCTCTCACAGATTGATCACGGCTAGATATCTGCAGACGGCGACAAAGTGGGCGTGCCGCGGCGAGTAAGGGCGCCGCGGCACAAGCGTGCAAAAATCCAGTGCGCGAGTGGAGATGCCTTCGCCTGCGGATCGCGTGAATCGGACACGCACGCTTATCGGGGTCCCCTAACTAATATGGTATCTTTACCTTTTTCGACGCTTTAAATCTGGCCAGCGAGACCGTGGTCTGGACATCCTTTCCTCTAATGGGTGAATCATCGTGTTTTTACTTTTGCCAAGCGAAACAAAACCATGAAAACCGTATTTGAATTTGAATTGAATGGAGTAAACCCATTAGCTAATTGATCTCTCACTCCTGGGAGACCTGCCTTTCCCTTCCTGCGGATCAGGTCGGGAGTCAGTTTGCCGATATTGAAGGGGAGGTTTAAGTTCATAGGGTTCAAACTTGGTAGAGTAAGGCTTTATGCTTACATATGGGCACCTCGGACTTAAGCCTGATGATTGGGGCCGAGGGTCTAAATCCTAGAGTCTATGCTTCCATGCGATCTGAACGCACCCGCATGATTCCCTTCTGGCCTCAAGAGGATCTTCACCTCGAGGTCTCAATCTCGATCTCACCTACATTCAAACAATTCTATACACACTTGCGCTGTTGTATCTAAGAAGTTGTTCAGGCGATCTGCGACTACAAGAACGATGTCCAATCGGCTGAAGCACTTTGGCGATAAACGACCGAATATGGCATGCGATTGCCAAACAGTCGGCTATCTTACATGCGAGCCCGAAAAAAATATTATGAATGGAGTACGCATCGCTGTGAATATATCTACTACACGTTTAATAGACAGACTATAATAGACGTGCTGTACCTGGTTCTGCTACGAAATAAAATGTTATGCCGTTTGATGTCATAAATGGCCAGTCACCATGATAAAAATGGCTCAAAATCTTAATTTTCCACTAAAATAAAGAGTAATGCCCAGAATGAAGGATATGTAGGGGTTCATTTGGACGAAAAATCATATCAAAAGGATACTATGGAATTTAAGAAGCGGAGCTCAACCCACTCTTCCTCCTCTCGACGTTATCGCAATCAACGATGCTCTTACCAGGGGCCGTCGGGAACTTCACAATCTTTTCGCACCTTTCTGGATGACCAGCCGGAGACGGGCTTTCCCGGTGAGTTCTTTTTCCTTGGAAGCACTAGTGGAGGTCAATTCTTACTCATTCAGATTATGTTCATGCACCAACCCACATGGATCCGCAAAATTGGTAAACGAGCACTTCTTCAAGAACCTCAATTTGACGTAAGGTTGCAGAAAAGGGGTGGCTGGTTACGGTAACACTGCTACTTAAATTCTTTTTTTAAGAGTCCATTCACCCAACTGTTACGATAGAGCCTCAAGTGACGGCCCTGTCGTGTCAGATTGACCTTTTCTACTACAGTAAGCCAAAACGTGACGCACGATCAAATTATGAGGCGACAACACTGGCCATTGTGAAGCTGCACTCATCTCATTAAGAGACGTCATCAAGATTCCATCCGTCGTTCCACGTTACACCTAATTGCTGCACGCTTTGCATTGCTTCAACTTCCGAGGCTTATCCTTGAGGCTATCACTTAAAATTACTCTATTCGCTTACTGCTACCTTCACTCGACCTTCCCACAATGAAACGTATTGTTCTTAATAAACGCATTGTTCTACGTATTTCATGAAAAAAGCATATTCTCAGAAGCTGGGCGGCTCAGGAGGTAACGGTTGCTGCGTCGCCAAAGTGGGTCTCCGAAAACCTGATGCGGCAATGATTCAGCATTCACAAGTGAGTCAAGACGTGTGACACCACTTATGAACCGCCCTACAGTCGCTCAGCCGCAATCGATACCTCCTGACTCACACCTATCGAAACGCTCCTCATTTCTGAGTTTCATTTTGCATTGAACATGCTGAAAATCTGCTGAGTTCATAACAATGTTTCCGATCTTGAAAGGAAGGACTACGATAAAGAGGGAGCGCATCGGGAAGTGTATGCGCCACAAGAAGCAGTACTTGGCTGCCAAGGGAGCGAGGTGGCGCTTTCACGACGAAAGGTGCGCTGGTTGCTGAGCAGGACTTCGAAAGCGCTCCGCCCAAACATTCCATCCACCAATTTAGTCGGCGATTTGGACAAGCAGTATTGCCAACAGTTGCACAACTGGAGCTACTCGAATGGAGCATAGGTTCACACGCGTCGCGGCAAACTCGTCCATATGTCCACCGTTTTACCCGTCCTTGCCCGCCTGTGAGCGAAAATCAACGGCTACTCAAGGGGGTCCCGTTTTGCGTCTTCTTGGCAAATTTCTTCGCTTTTTCTGCCAGCGTACACCACATCCTTCCAGACCTCTCAGAGGCCTATCGATAGCAGCGTTTGATCAGACTTACAAGAAGCTCATTATCACTGGATCTATAAAAAAGACCACTGCAAAAGATCAGCTTTTACGGTAGACTTATAAGTGGCGCTTTGCGTAGATCCCTACCGGTTCTACTGTTCATTTCTTCCGGGGCATTCAACTCCTGAGTGAATTACCTAGTCAGTAGCAAGGGAAGTATCTGACAGTATTCAAGGAAGTGATAAACGCCAACCGCGCCAACCTGCGCGCTAAGTTTTTTTTATTATCTATTTGGATAGTATTGGCAAATTCCGCAATATTGCAGGAGGGCACAATCGCTAAAGGCGCGGGTATTCCATAACGTTGATAAAAACATTATGGCGTAGCGTATTTGCCAGGTCAGCGTGATAAACACCAAACCTATACTTCGAGTTCTTTCTGAGTATTCTCAAAAACGCCTAAAACAGAACCCAATGACGTCCGTCACGTCAAGGTGGGGCAGCGTAAGCAACAGCGTTTTTTTCACTATGTATGGCTCGTGAAAGGAGGCCTTGTACCGTATAGTCGTCATGCTAATGTTCGCGCGATATAGAGCTGCGAATTCCATCTTTAATTCGTCTCTTTTACAGAGCAGCTGACCAGTCGCTAAACACCAAGCTTATTCCTCAGGTAGTTTACTAGCTTTGGCTTTGGGTCATGATACTCGCGGGAACAGCTCGCATGCTGAAGCCCTGCTTCCGAATGTGCTTGTTATCAAACGAAAATCACGACGAGGCAATGCGGTTAAGGAGTGACGCCAGTTCGCTATGCCTTGACGCGTACCGCTTTACTACGAAAGCTTCTTTTTTTGACAACATAGAAAGTTCTCCAAACAAGCACGACTTACCCTACCCCCCCCCAACAGAACTCGGGTGAAGGTTGGAGCTATGAGCAGGTTGAAAACTTTAACGAAAACACGCACATTGAATCAGGCTAAAATATTGCTTGAGATTCCTCAACGGCACGTCGAGGATTTTCGCCTGATCCTTTACGTTCTCGCGCGCGGATATTCACTCTCGCCACCCGCGAGCCGTCTGTGCTCTCCGCGCGTACATTCACTATCGGCTCTACTCTCGCACAGCAGAGAGCGATGGTCGAGGAATTCCTCGACCGTTATTCACCCTGCATTGAATTGGTTCATTCAATCACAAAAGGGCCAAATTCTTGAAAAAAAAAGTGAAGCAATGGCAAGTAAGTTGCCTCTAGAAGCTCATCGGCAGTCATGCGCCAAAACTAAATTCTACCTCTTACCAAATTAAAAGAGCTGCTCAAAATTGTCTGGCACCCACACCATTTTTTGAACTGGCGTCTTCCAACGCCTCTTGACTCCAGATGGAGATCGAATGTGTGGCGCTTCCCAAACAAACTGATCACCCCATCATGCTATTATTGGTTAAGTTACACATATACTCCACAACTGCAAACAAATCTGACATACAACTTCGTGCGCAAGCGGCTAAAAATACTTGGCAAAAATGGAATCTGAACCTGAAATTGAATTTTTTCCCATATACTCTTATTTCGAAGAACGCAAAAGTGCAGAACATAGCATCGTATATTTCTCCGTTCGTTTTAAATGAATGAACAATTCAATTTCGCCTTAGAGCATGATGCATAACTTATCGGCACTTGGATTAGCTCACGCCTGAGCAGTTCGTTTTTCATCCCAGGAAAATGTACGGACAGGCTGCTGCTAAGCATAGTGCTATTGGCAGAATCATTAAAGCGTACCTCATCAAAGTGAGACGAAAACATGCTGCTATTCCACTATGGCTAAGCATTCAGTGTTTATCCGTACTTTTTAGGATGCGCCCCACTTCTACTTTCACTCACAATCGCATTGACTTTGAAATTCCGTTCGTGCAAGCACGTACTGCGCAGTTCATTCGATCAAGAAGTAGGTGCTGTTTCTAAGTAAAAGACCATATGGTACCAATTGTTGAATCGAAAAAGCAAGCGCAACAACGTTTAAGACTTCAAAACTCCATAACGTAGCTCCATTTGACCTATTGTGGACCTCCGCATCCGTATCTTTCCGTATCTTTTGCTTTCTCGATAATCGATGAATAATAATATATTGCTGTCCTTCGGTTTGAAAACGATAAAAACCCTTGGCAAAGCAAAAATATCTGATCAAATCGAACAAAGCGATCTAACTCTGCGTAGGCGCGTGGTGCAACATGTGCATCATACGGTCTGCAAAGGAATAATGTAAGCTCCAAAGGAGTCTGAAGCTGTTGTTACAGATTCTGCTTACTATGATGTCTTGGGATAGCACCATAATCAGGTATCGAAAACACGTCAACAAAAAATGAAAGCACTAGTTCACACGTCCTTTTCATAAAAGCAATAGAAGATAGTTGAAATAACACCCACGTCGATGTGATTGTTCGGAAACGCTCCTGTCCGGCGGTGTCCCAGATTTGCAACTTCACCCGTTGCCCGTCAATGTCGACTGTGCGAATTTTGAAGTCAACACCAATTGTCGTTATATAATTCTCTTAAAATCGTAAATACAGCTTGCACTCACTCAAAAATGTTCGACAATTCTTGCTTATTCCACTTTACAAAAAAATCTTGGTAGCCACGCATTTATGAGCGAGACGTGAACACATCAATCTTCGCACAAGTTTTTCTTGCGGCAATCGATATTCTTATCGAACCAGTACCTTCTGATCCAAACATGGGAAAATTGATGCTTTTGGATCTTCGAAATCGATATTTTCTGTCCTGGATATGCATCCAATTTAGCAGTAGCTTCAAATGTTGACGGAAATCGCGTACACCTAGCCGTCTCTAAACCTTTAATCCCTTGTGTTTCCCTAACAAAATGGAAATTCCTCAGATTTCGAGTTGACTCGTTCAGTCCTACAACTGGTGGTGAACTCTTAGCTGATATCATCATACTACAAGAAATTCTTGAAGGGTTTTCCGAAATTCGACTGTGAGGAAACAAAATTGAGTTGGAAAAAGGCTCGTGAGTTCTCATCCACTGAATACAACTTCCAAACAACATCATAACTCCACAGTTCCGCTCAAGTGAATCACATCACATAAAGCAGCTGCAAAGATCACTGCAGCTCTCTTAACCGCAGTTCCCTGAATTTTAAAAAAAGTGACCCATGCACGAGCCCATGAAGGATGCGCAGTATCAACCAGGCGAACGTCTTACATGCCCGTTGAAGTACTTCCCCTGGATGTATCGCCTTTCACTTGCACTCTCGTCTAACCGCCTTAACCCTCCCATGTCCTCGTTTCTGCATGCGTCTCTCCACCTTTTAAGAAACTTTTCCCATCTACAGTCACTGATCATTTGCAAATGTCGTAATTGGTAACGAATATCCTGCTTTCTTTCGAATCCAACAATTCATGCGAACAGTTTCGGAATGCGAAAAATGCCAGATAAACCACGCAAACGAATCCTTTCCGCGTAAAAATGTGGAAGTGTGACCCGCCGGCGAACTAAGCGGACGCTAATATAAAAATAGTGACGCGATTAAGAAAAAGCGGTTCAGAGCGAAATCAGGAAGTGACTTTGGAATATGCGTTCCAAAAAAAAACCTTTGAGGGAATAACCTCATTGCAATCAGCGTCATCTAACAATCTAATCTTAATATAGTGCAAGGAAAATAGCCAAACATAAAAAAGAAGCAAATTAGGAACACCAACCAGAAAAGACGTTGTCAGCAAATCGAAGTAGTAAGCTACTTTTACCAACTCCTGCAATGTAACGCTCATTCGCTTGAAACAACTTAAAGCTAAAAGCCTAGATGCTTACCACTATCACCGATGATTAGTAACTTAAATAAATGATCGTAATCTCTCGGGCCATATCCAGCCATGAGACTGCAACAATAAAATGTCTACTAAATCTCCAGAAAAAAAGCATGATTTGAAATAGGAAGGAATCCAACCCGTTCGATAAAATCAATACAAGAGAATGGTTCAAAGAATATTTATGTGTTTTCAAGAGATCTGTAAAAATTCATGACAAAATCAACACATTCACGAATCTCACGGATACAACAGCATACGATTGATGGTAGGAGGTAA